CCTAATCTTACCTTGTGTTTCTTGACAAGGGGATAAAGGCACTCACCAAGTATATGTTTCTGGTGCTGGGGGTAGCAGCAGTAAGCATGCTGCTCCACATGTTTGATCCTTGGGATGCAGCTCCAACAAAGTTAGGAGGACTGTAGGTCCATTGCTCACATCACGTGAGCGTGGATTTGGAACATACTTGGTCTGTCCAACTCTTTGAGATTCAAAGCTCAGAGACATTATTGCAAATAATGGCAGATATATAACCCACAATTGAGGACATGAATCAGTGCATATCTATCTATTATGGAGAAAATCTACAAATCTAATGCAGAAATGCATCTCTTCATTGAAAAGGAAAATGGAAATGCATCTTCAAGAAAACAAAAACTCCTATCTCTTGAATTGTACAAATTTCTATATAGGTAAAAGTAAATTAAAGTTTTTTTTGTCCCAAAGAAATTAATTTAAAGTTTTTTTGTCCCAAAGATCTAATCTGAACCTAACACATTTACAGCCCCTTGAGCCCAACCCAACTTACCAGAAGTTTTGCATGAGATGGGCTTAGATTTTGAGTCTCTAGTGTAAAAACTTGGGTCTGACAAAAACTAAGAATGGGTTTAAATTGAGGCTCAAGGGATATGAGCCCACCACTAATCGGTAAATAAGAAAACAAAAAATTCCAAGCAATGTTGCTCATCCTTCAAGTCTGAATTGCAATAAAACTAAAGATGGAAAGGAACTTCTGCAACTACTCTTTAAGTCTAAATTGCAAACAATAGATTGAACAAATATGGCATCTAGAGCTATGTGCGTGTGTGTGTGTGTGTTTGTGTGTGTGAGAGAGAGAGAGAGTGGGCGGGCAAAGCAAAGCTCAATATGAATTTGTTAAGATCCAAAAAGAACAAAAGATAGAGAAGATAAGTAGTATTTCGGACAAAGATAAAAGTGTGTTTTAACAACTCAAACTAAACTAAATCTAACTTGCAAGTGCTTTTAACATACTAATACTTTGTCAATAAGGTCTATAGCTTCAACAAAGTAGTCTGGAAATCTGATATTCTGGCTATGATTCTTTGAAAAATGAGCCATTACTTGCATCTTTGAAGGGAGAAATTCCCGAAAGCACCTGATACAAGGTGCGTCCAAGTGCCCAAAGGTCATTTCTGTTTCAACATATATACAAAAGAGCAGATGAGTCATCATATATAATTAAAAGAATGGCTATGATTCTGCTTGACTTGAAATATTTTCAACAATAAAAATAAGGTGAGAACCCTAAAGA